CAAAAAAAAAAAAAAAAAAAAAACCACAGCAACACCCTCATACATTTAAAATTGCCTTTACATATTGCAGTTACTGAAAGTTCAATAGTAAATTCGAAGGTAGTATATCAAAATAACACTTTAGTACTATGCAAAACTCAAAAACTGTTTAAAAAAAAAGCCAACCAAAATAATAAAAAAACCAAAAAACAAACAAACAAATAAAAAAAAAAAAAACAACCCTTTAAAAATGGATATCCCACCCTAAGAAACAATAGTGTTTCTTCCTTGACTTTCAGCCCTTTTATTGAAAAAGTGGGTGGCTCTTAAAAGAGCCTTTGGGTGAAGCACTATTTCTGCCAAGCCTTTACTTGGAGCTGGTGTACTTGGTGACAGCCTTGGTGCCCTCGGACACGGCGTGCTTGGCCAGCTCGCCGGGCAGCAGCAGGCGCACGGCCGTCTGGATCTCCCGCGACGTGATGGTGGAGCGCTTGTTGTAGTGCGCCAGGCGCGACGCCTCGCCCGCGATGCGCTCGAAGATGTCGTTGACGAACGAGTTCATGATGCCCATGGCCTTGGACGAGATGCCCGTGTCGGGGTGCACCTGCTTCAGCACCTTGTACACGTAGATCGAGTAGCTCTCCTTGCGGCTCTTCTTGCGCTTCTTGTCGCCCTTCTTCTGCGTCTTGGTCACCGCCTTCTTCGAGCCCTTCTTGGGCGCGGGCGCGGACTTGGCCGGCTCGGGCATGGCTGTAGCGACTCGACTGCTGCGACCACGGAGCGCCTGCAGAACAACCCGGGAGGGAAGTGAGGAGCGCGGCTGCGTGCCACGTATTTATAGCGCGTCTATGCAAATAAGCGGCTTGTGCTCTGCACCCTCTTATTGGTCAGACCACAAGGTGATGTCAGCACTTCCCAATATTCGTGTCTGATTGGTCAAATTTGGATTCGGCTTCTCATTGGCTGCCTGCACAAGACCTACTTCTCAGCCTATCAGCGAAGGGTTGAGGCAGTAAAGTGAGTGCGGGGCCCGGGTGAGCTGAGTGCTGCTCCGCCGTGCTGCGCGTTCCTGTGCCGGGGCACCGAGCGAGCGAGCGCGCACGGGAAGATGTCCGGTCGCGGGAAGCAGGGCGGCAAGGCGCGCGCCAAGGCCAAGTCGCGCTCGTCGCGGGCCGGGCTGCAGTTCCCCGTGGGCCGCGTGCACCGGCTGCTGCGCAAGGGCAACTACGCGGAGCGCGTGGGCGCCGGCGCGCCGGTGTACCTGGCGGCCGTGCTGGAGTACCTGACGGCCGAGATCCTGGAGCTGGCGGGCAACGCGGCCCGCGACAACAAGAAGACGCGCATCATCCCCCGCCACCTGCAGCTCGCCATCCGCAACGACGAGGAGCTCAACAAGCTGCTGGGCAAGGTGACCATCGCCCAGGGCGGCGTGCTGCCCAACATCCAGGCCGTGCTGCTGCCCAAGAAGACCGACAGCCACAAGGCCAAAGCCAAGTGAACCTCTAAGGCTAAAGCGGCACGTTTGCGTTTCTGGAAAAACCCAAAGGCTCTTTTCAGAGCCACCCACAAAGTCCTAAGAGAGCTGAGTTATCTAAACAACAGTGTAAGCCGTTTTGCAGCATTAACTACTCAATTCTTGTTTCAACTTATTTTTTATTTTTGGTTGGATAAAGTAGCAGTGTTTTCCATTTTTTTTTTTTTTGTTAACAAAGTCTTGCCAAAACGTCCTCCTCTCCGTGCAATTTCTTCCTGGTATGGGATATTTTCCGTTTAGTTCTTACGTCTGAGAACATACGGACACCATTTGTTGAGCTCCTGTCCCACCTCCCTTTTTCGCCTCTTTTCTTCTCCGAGTGGCTGATACAGTTCCAGAGAAAGGCGTGAGCGTCTTCGGGGAAGGGAGGGGGAAGGGCAGCGGGCCGGGATTTCCGCCGGCCAATCCTTGGGCAGGGCGGGCTTTTTCAATACTTAAAGCTTTCTTTCTCATCAGGAACAAAGGGATTGGGAAAGATCAGGGCTATTTTTATGTCAGTAAAGAAACCCTTCCCTCTTCCCCCCCAACAGACAAAGGCATTTACGGAGATAACTTTAAGAGAAATAATTCAATAGATTAGACATGGCTCAGTAGTAGCGTGCCTGGCAATTGCATTATTTTGTTACAAAATATATCTTTAAAAAAACGTACATCCGATTTTTTATCAAATCATTATAAAACATTTGTTTCTTGGTAGTCAAAGTAATCACTTGGAGGAAAACCAAAAGTCTACACTTCCCTAAAGTCGCCGCGTTCTACCGCGTTCTTAAGTCTTTCTTTCGGTAATCCCTAGGAAACAAAAGACACAAGACACAATTGACCTCTTGACGACTTACGAATTGCTGGACCCCTGCTGCAGGTTACGGACGACCGCGGTGCATCAGCTCCTTTAGGGAAAGTGTGGGTGGCTCTTAAAAGAGCCGTTGGATAACAAAATACGTAGAACAAAACTCTCCTGGAACAATTTACTTCTTTTTGGGAGCCGCCTTCTTCGGCTTCTTGGCGGCGGCCTTGGCGCCGGGCGCGGGCGCATCGGGGGCGGCGGTGGGAGCGGTCTCGGACATCGCGGCGGCTTCCCCGGCGGAGCGGGCGAACACAATTGGGCTGGCCCGGGTCAGATGCTCGTATTTTTAGAGCGGAGCCGCGCCGTGATTGGTGCGCTGCAGAGCCCGCCCCTCCGCTCGGCCGGGGAGCCCTTCGGTGTGCTCGATTTGTGTTTCTTTGGACCAACAAAAGTGTGTTTTCCTCGGAATTTCTGCCACCAAATCGCCCGGTTTCCCCGGTGAGGGGGGAGAAGAGCAGGTACTTGCGTTCGGGAGAGTTTCCTGCGGCAAACACGCGATTTGAGTTAAAGGAGAGGCGATAAATCCCGTGTGCTGCTGCTGGAGAGACCTCTGAAGGGAGAAACTTTTGTTTTTCCTTGCAAATTAAAAATTTCCTTTTGACATAAATGTTACAGCAACAACTCAGTCTTATTCTTTAGAGGGTTTTCTTGGGGTCAAAGTTGAAATCTGACGATTTGAAGCTATTTTGACAGTTTAAATTGATTTTGAAGAGGAGGAAGTAACACAAACTCCTTTTTCAGCTCTGAATATGGATTAAGAACCGGTTCCTTTGACCATGTGTTTTACCTACTAAAACGCTAAAGTCTAGTGAAATAGTGTCTCGTACAATCACCTATTCCACTTTTTATAGAAACATAAGCAATTTTTTTAATATCTGGAGATTGATGAACAGAGAGTTGGTTTATTTTGTCTTCCTGGGATTTCAGTACAAGGGAGGCAAAGTTACTCTGCTGCCCTGTGTGGGGTGTTTTCTTTTTGTTTGTTTTCCATACGAATTTTTCTACCAAATATTAAGTAAATCAAGCTATTTGCTTGTTATGTTCCATGTTATTTTGAGGTACATAGTAATTTAAAACCTTATGCTGCAAAACTGCAGCTTTGTAAAAGAAAGCAATCTCCTGCACTTCTGTTGTTTATGGAAATTATCTTTGTCTCTGGCAATTTAAGATTTGCAAGGAGTAGCATCGCAGTTTAGTAATCCTGCTCTTCCTTCCCAAAAAATATTGTCTTGTTTTATATTTTCTGTAAAAGTAGTAGAATTGTAAACCATATTACTGTTTGGATTTTTTGTAATGTGTCTCACAGAATATGGCTGCACAAAGATTTAGCTAAAGCCTCTGAATTCTAAACCCCCTTCTCACTCTAAATAAAACCCACCTAATTATTACTTGTGCATTTTACAGCAACCGCTGAAATAAGGAAATACTTTTATGACAGAAATTAGAGCAATTCGTGATAACCTGAGTTTTAACAAGGGGAGAGGTAGGCCATAGGTCATTCCTGAAGAACCAGGAAGGAGTGAACCTGTACTGGTATCTGGTGGAAGATGGTGTAATATGCTGAGCAGAACAGAGCTCTGGCTTAATATTTCATTAAACTGTAACTGGCTACGAAAAAAAGTGTATTATCCATCGTCTTTCTAGTTATTTAAGAATCACAAAGACTGCACTACAGCCAGCCTTTTGGTATTACCTGATATAGCATTTAATGTGCATACAGCATTTAAATACATGTTAGCAACCAGAAATTCAGAGTGTATAAGTAGATCGTTTTAGGGAAATGTAATTCTGTTTCTGTGTCATGGTTTCATTTCCAATGGCTATTTCATAAATGCTAAAATGTGTATAAGATGAGAGATTTAGCTTGCTGTAAAATTGTGTTTCAGGGAATGTGAAATTATGAATAAATGCAACAAAGGGGAAAATTGTGACCTCCGCCCCATAATGATAAAATGCCATAAAAAAGGTTGCAGTAAAAATGCACCTGAGCTCTGTAATGCTTTAAGGGGAAATTAATTGAGAGAAGAGCTAATCAAATTGTGACTTTCGAGGTCCTGTTTGGCAATACTACGTAACATGAAGGATACAGGGATGAAATGGAGTGGATGTGGGTATTGCAGATATACCTTCAGAAATTGAAGGTAAAATGTTTTGAAGCCTTTATCCTGTTTATGTAAAACTATGAATGAACCTTCCCATTGATTTGGCTGCATAATGTAATAAGGTAGCAATTGCTGGGAAGATATGAAATTTGGCAGTTGCCTAGAGACTTCATTGCATATAGACAGAGGAAAAGCACAGACCATGAGTGACATGTCAGCAAAATGAAAAATTCCTTTTTGCTTATTCTTATTGCTTTGAACACATTTATGTCAGTAATTTTCACTGTGGGAAATGTAAATAATCCAGCTCTCATTTGTGGCTTCACAGAGTCTTCATTCACATTTGTTGGGGCAAAGTTGAGGTGGCCAAAATGTTCAATATTCCAGTTTTCTGGCTTTTCTCCCAGCAGTTGCTGCCCTTTCCTCATTTCCAAAAAAGTCTACTAAGTATATACATGTCATCTTCTGGTCTTCAGCTACAATTTAGTAATTTAAACTGAAGTAACTTCAGACATTTCAGAAAAGAGAAGCTTTTTTTTTTTTTAATGGTTTTGAAGCAAAGAGATAAACCAGCTTTACTGATGCAGAATTGCTGCTTGGAGCACATATTCTTCTTTATGTGAAAGAAATACATACAGGAGCAATATTTTGGAAAGTTAAGGTGTATTTGGCAATTTTAAAAAGAGCTGTTCTGCAGTCAGAACAGATAGTTAAAAAAGAATAAACAGATGTACTCAGGCAGAGAAAAAATGTGGTGAAAGACTACCCAAAAGGCAGAAGTGGCAGTTTTGCCTCTAGCTGAGCACATGAAGTAGGGAAATAATCCTATTTTAGATATAGAGTATTGTGGAAAAATATTATTGAGAAGACACTACATAGGCTGTCACATGCAGTTTGGTTTTCCCAGTGAGACTGGAGCGAGGTAGAATTCATTATTCAATTAGTGAAGGAAAGTAATACCAGGATCTCCAGAGATACTTCTGGAGAAGGCACCACCGTAAGGTCTACTTCATATGAATGATTTCAATCCTTCTCACCCTATGGGAACCTCAGCAGGCCACACTGCATCACAAACCTGCAATCTGAGCCCTCCCTGCAAGTTGCTTCCCTTCAGATACCCAAATCTGTCCAACTTCTGCAGTTATCGTAAAGACATCTTGGCATTAGCAAGGAGCACGGGAACCACAGCCAAGGGCTGGCAGTACACCTGAGAGCTATCAAACGTTCCCATCTGCAGATCAGGACCTGCCAATACTTGTTCCTACGAAAATAAGCTGCGGGTTATATTTAGGTATGTCTGCATTAAGGAGAGGTAGCACAGCAGTAGTTCCCAAGCAATTTTGTTAGGAGGCATTAGCATGAGGGCCAGCCACACAAATGGCTGCTGGGCTGTGGTCAGTCCTTCTCAGGCAGCTGAAGGAAGCACAGCTCTCACACTTGGGCACCAGAGCCCCTCTCCTGGCTTCACATGGTAATTTCCAGAGAGATTTAGGTGAGGGTCTTTACATGATGTGCTGCATTCCCACATAGATGTTCCACAGGAAAGAGGTGTAAATGCTCCCTGCAACCGTGATTACACTCCTATTACAGTGTTACACCCATGCCTTACTTGCCCTCAGTGACATCACCTTTCATCTGAGTTTCAAATGTAATAACACTTGTGTGATCCAACCAGCCGGCACAGTTTAGCAACTTTTAACACTTAGCTAAGGAATTTTCAAGCGAGACCTACCAAACTTCAGACTTGTTGCAGCTCAGCAGAACAAGTCCCTGCCTACACAATACTAATGTGTCTGCTGCTGCTGCTCTTAGGGCTCCTAAGTGTGCTGAGGGCACATAAGGCCTTTTAAACTCAGGGCATGAGTGAGCATCTGTAGGGAGCAGAACAAACAGGGTAGGGCAAGGGATGACTGTCCTCATAGACTCAGCTTCCTGGAATGTTGAACACTCCTCCCTGTACCCTTGGTTAAGGGTTGGGGCACCTGTTGTGTCCTCCCTTCTTCGTTGTCATGGCATGTAATTTGGCAATTGAAAATCTACAGTGTGAAACCTGGATATGTCCATAGTTAGGAGGCACTGGGAAGGAAATCTTTCCTGGGAAAGCAAAAAAAAATCAGCAAAAAATGGAGTGGGCCAAAACCTTTCTGAGAACAGATATTGATGAAAAAACTTTACTCTGTGTGTGTTTATTAGTTTAAGGCATTTTTACTTTTTTCACACACAGTGAAGAGGTCCTCAGTCAGACATAAAAAAATAAAATTATTTATATCTCAGAATAATTTGGTCTTCTAAAACTAATCCAAGCCACTCGGAAAATTGTGTTCTGGACCACGCTGGCATGGTTTGAATGTCGTCATCAGTGGGAGATTGAGGACACCTCAGACCCTTAGACAAACTGTTGTTCCTGAGAGGTGAACAACATTAACAGAAGCTGCATCAGCTATGGCTCCCCGAGGCAATTATCTCCTCCTGAATGGAGAGTGCCTCGCTTTGGCCTGCATTTAGTGGTGAAGTCCACCAAGGAGAGGTGACACCACACTGTCCTTCCATAGCAGCTGCTCCATCAGCACGGAATCCCGGCTGCTCACTAGGCAGCAGCTCACACAGAGGGATGCTGAGCAGCACACTCTTCCTGCCTGCAACACTGCAGCACTCCTGTGGATTTTCTGCCCTCCACACTTTCCTCCTTGTATGACAGTGCTGCCTGTGACTTCTGGTACGCGGGAGGGAGCAGAGTGATGGATCTAAATGTCACTTCCCACTCCAGCCA